CCAAAATATTTTTCTGGAACAAAATATTCATCCGTCAAAGATTAGTAAAATCGTTGAACGTATCAATCAAATTCAGACAATCCTAATCCGCACCAAAAATATATATGAACCAAATGTTCCGCATTCCACATTACTATGAATGTATGACGTTTGAGTTACGTTATAATACCACAGAAAGCGTAAGTTTTCCCTTCTGTAGAGAGATTTGTGGCTAATGTTCAAGATGCTTGCATTGATGTCACTTAGCGTAAGTATCTTAAGGTTACTTAAGAATTATTTAAAAATTATATTTTCTGCAACATTACATGTCAATATTTCAAAATATATCGTCAAAGGCAAATCTTTCTGACGTAATACTATAAAAGTGTAACGATTTTGTACTCAATTTGTTTTTCAAATTAATCAGAATGCTAAATAAAAGTTGTATGATTTATAACACGAGAAACACTGGCAGATTTATATGAAATTCCTCATTCCGCAGCCGAGATACTGGATAGATAAATATTGAGAGAATTATACGGTCAATCATGGAGAGTGCTTGTGGTTTGTATTGGCTGAAAGTTGATTATTAATAAACATAATATTTAGGCTTCTTTTATATTTAAATTTACGGTTATTGCAATCTTTGGATGATAATAATAGAAAAATTGGATGAGAACTGCAAAAAGTTATATTAACTATTTGAAATGAAGCTTAAGAAATGAAGAGGTTGAAATGAAATCGATTTAAAGGGTTTTTCATTTCATTAGTGATATTTAGTTGATCGTGGCATATGTATGTAAATATTATATTCAAATCAGAACTGTTATCCTTTTTTATTTAACTGTCAAATTACCAACTAATATTCATTTATGAAACCTTAAATAAATTTTGGACAAAAATATTTGGACAAAATTTTGTTTTGAATAACATTTCGATTTTATAGTTTGCGTTCACATGAAAGTTAGATTAAAGGCTTTTTTTTCATATATTGCTATGACTCCTTAAATTTATACTTATAAACACTGAAACATTGTAAAATTTGTAAAACTTACCTTATTCCGTCTTACAAAATCCAGCTTTAATATATATAAAAAAATACTTACATACCTGTGTACAGCTGTAAAGTTTCTCCAGGATACGTGGAATTGTTCTGGAAGAAGTACAAAAACTTTTGCTTTCATACCAACAAATTTTATTAAGAAAATTACGTATAGCTATCTTCGTTGTGCCTATTCCAATTTTTTTATTAAATATTTATAAGTTAAACATAACTAGTTTATTTAATTATTTCAAAATATCAAATAGATGGTCTCTTCCAAGATTTATAGAAAAATATTTAGAAGGAAACTATAGAAAACAATGTGAGCTATTATTTCATCCAATGTGACGTATTGAATGGCTAAATATTATACGTTTTTGTTTTTTACATTGTACAGAAAACTATTAAAATTTTACAAAGGTTCAGTGATGAAAATTTAATTCACTTGAAACTATTTTTATATAGAATTTACATTTTGTTTTAAATTTAAAATATTTTTTTTTTATTACAGAACCAGTTTTTGCACTTGACTTCTCTTGTGTAGGTATTTAGTTATTTTAGATAAAATATTTATTATAAAAACGTTATATATTTTAAAAAATAATTTTTGTTAAGGGAGTTTCGAAGTTTAGCGTTAAGGGATTATTATTTACAGGAGATAATTATGTTACAAGGATAAACTTATTTACATACTTACACCTAATAACCAACTTCTTAAACATAGATTTGATAAAGCCTACAAATATATTCTTTGTTCTGGAACTTTCTATAAATAAACATATCAGAAACCATGGTACAAAATGTTATATAAAATAGTATTTTCTGAATATTCTGTCTAAGCCATTTTTTAGTTCCAGGAACTGAACCCTAGCTCGTTAACCAGTTGCAACGAAAATCAAATATCTTTTTAATCTAACTGAAGATAACGCGTGACTTATTTTTAACATATTATCCAAAATCCCAGTGTTACCAGAATTTACTTATTTTCTAATTGCCAAAAATATTATATAATAGGCTAATAATCGTGTCTACAGTAAACTTAAACTACGAGCTAGCTTAAACTGACGGCCATTCTCAGGTACCAGATGCTAGGTAAATAAAAATTGTACTTTTTTACTTATAGTCTGAGGTATGAGTTACAGCTATATTGTAGGAAATATGTAAAAAAATTCAAATTAAAACTGCCACACACCTTCCGTTGGCACTATTTTTAATCAGACACTTTAAATATCGACAGCAAAACAACACAATCTTAGTTATATGAAGTCCGATACTTGATTGATTTTCAAATGAAATATGTAGGGGAGTATTTAAATATATTTTGTAAGTATTATTAAATGTGGGACTATTTAAATCTAGTTAGCAATCTACCAGATATGTTTGCTCTTTCTATAGACGCTAATAGTTACCTATTATATCTATGTAAATATTTTGTTCATCTGAAAATAAGTAAGGTTTTGTGGCCTAAGGATCTTGTTCATATACAGTCTAAGAGAAACTCCTTTTTTCCAGTCGGTTAAAAGCGAGCAAAGTTTTTGGTTGTTACGTATGTGTATTTACTGACTTCTGTATTAACTCTAACAAAGTTCGAAAACGCAGTAAGCCTCTAGTACTTTGTTAAATGTTTAGAATTTCGTTCAAAGTAAAGTTACGTAGAGTGTCTAAATAAAGCGACCATTCTCTTCATTTTAATTTTATAAAACAATATTATAGAATCAGGAATAATAAATTGATCATATAGTGCTTATAAATATGAAAAATAAATCATTCATATTCATTCATTCGTCTTTAAAGTGTTTTGGGAAAAAAGACATCGTAATAAGTTTAAAATTACCAGACACAAAAATATATTCAATTTTGGTTTCAAGTGTAGTGTTTGCTGCGGGCGATGAGAGTACACGCTAAAAACAGATATTATAATAAATACAGTATGTATATTTATAATATTGAAGTTTTCAGTTAAATATTTTTTGATTCCCTAAAAGCACTAACGAGAGATTATATGTCGGTTGAAAAATAATATGTTTTTGTGAAAGAGAACTCTTTATAGCAAACATAGTATTGCAAAATATTATGATTGGTTTTGTTTATATTCAATGTACATCAAAAGTAAAATACTATATTTGTATTTTTTGTAAACGTCCCCTTTGATTGCTTTAAGCCGTCGACTACCACTTAATACGGTTTGTTAAAAATTGATCCAAAAATAAGTCACTAACAAGCCAGTGTTAATACAAAAAACAAAACCCAATCATACAAATTGGCCGAAGTATAGGTACAGCCCAAAACGTGACAGCACAATGACATAAGTTTATGAAGAAGTGCAAAACAATTCTAGCCCTTATAGCTTTAAAAAATAAAAAGAACGGGGCTATAATTGAATGTATATGTCTGTCGGCGACGCAGCTGATGTTTAGTTAATAATAGATTTAAGAGATAAGAAATGTAAGAAATAAGGAATTAGGTTAATATTTGTATTGTATAATTAATAAAAGGAAAGCGACTCTTGCAGGTGCGCAACACGTGTAAATAAAAGTCCCTAATGAGCGTCTCTTGCAAAAGCGCAGTATACTATTGTGAAACTTAAGATAAACCTATTGACCAATAAACGAATGGCGGTAGGGTCACTTGGCGGGGGCGGGGCATCCGCGCTGGCTCACAGCGGTACTAGGTGCGCGCGCGCAACGTATATAAAACACGGCCGCTGTGAGTCGAATAGTTAGTAGTTATCAGTAGTCATCAGTCAGTTGTCATCAGTCAGTCGTCATCACCAGTCGTCAGTAGTCAGTCAGTCGTCATCACCAGTCGTCAGTAGTCAGTCAGTCGTCATCAGTCGTCAGTTGTCATCATCAGTCGTCATCACCAGTCATCAGTTATCAGTAGTCACCAGCCAGATCTCGTGAAGACATCTCATACGCTTTGAAGAACAGTGAACAGGGAAGAACCCGAACAAAGAAGAACCGCGCTTTCAAGATAGTGACTAGGGACCACGTGGTCATACAAACCAAGTGATTCTGCCGCCATTACCTAACAAGTTGTGGTTTCATTCTAAAACGACGATACGACCCGCCACGAACACGGATCCCGAGGATCGGATCACCGGCCGCCTGCTATTGGAGGAATTATCATCCGATCCGATCCACCCCTCAAGCGGCGAACGATTCCGAACTCGATATTCGGACATCCCAACCGCAACAATGTCAAAACTTTGAAAATCTTGACAACGCGTCCGACACGGCTACCGATAGCACATTGAAACATCCTATACAAAACATTTCACAAGCAAACACCAATCGTGTATCGAGGGTATAAGCTGCAAATTACCTTGTCAAATATGGCATTGGAATTTTTATCTTTTTTTTTGCCGATACAAGAAGGTTTTATGCTGTCGCCGTCAAGCTTTTTAATCATTGGACGGGATCGAGTTGTTAAGATAATGATGCTATATTAATTATTTTGTCCTCAAAGATATTTACAGGAAGTGTTAGTGGTGATACCTTTATTGACTTCTTCACCTTTAAAAATGTTTATCTCATCGATTGAGATATCCCAATATTATAAAAGCCAGATCAGATAAAATTCTTTAAAAATAAAAATTGGTATCAAAGGTAAGACGACTAATCATATTATAATTTGTTTTTGTTTTTTTATTAATGTACCTTCTTAAAAGCGATCGGATTTGACTTAAAGTGCTTAAAGTGCCTGGGACTTGCGACCCAAGTGTAAGTTTACCCCTTATCTAACGCGCGTTATACGCTCACCTTCACTGTCCAAGCTCCTCTGACCTCTCCCTACCTAACCAAATTTAAAAAGAACCTACTAGGGCTGCCTTCGATGTACATTATCCTCAGTGGGACTGCATGCGCCCTGCCACCTTCCGCCCGCCCAGTCGCCATCCGCCCTTCATCACTCGCGCATCTTACTCGCAGGACAAACCGAGTTATACGAGATATATGGAAGGATCTTTATTGCATTAATAATGTCATTCAGAAATTATTATGAAACTTCATCATACGGCAGAAACCGAGATATAGGTAGAAATACGAGCACTTCTACAGAGAGAGCAGGTACTGTTACAGCAAAGTACACAACAACTCCTTCCTACAAATCTTCAAGTATACCCATAGTAAATGATCGATCTGCTCGAGAAGAAACTCCAATATCAGCAATCGCAAATCGGTATGCAAGCTACAGTAAAACAGCTACCGAAAAATCTTCTCCCAAATATGAAAAAAAGGATTATTCACTCAAGCTGTCAGTACCTACAATTAATACAAATAAAAGCAGAGATGGCAGTCCGGTTTCAGCAACATCAAAATATACTCTTAGTAGAACTTCACGTCATTCTAGTCCTGATAGAAGACCCATAAAAAGTTTTAAAGAAAAAAGGCACGGTAGTCCTGTTGAACGTGACAAAGACATTCCAAATAAGACTGATAAGACCTCGAACTATAGTGGTGTGTCAAATTACAAGCTCTATTCCCGTGCATCCTCTTATACAAGACCATCACCCCGTTCGGAAGTAAAGCCAGAAGTTAATGTAAATCGTTATGCAATTGGAAATCGTTTATCTACATCGAGTTATCTGAGAAGCCCTACTCCAATCAAACGTCCTTCTGTGTCGCCTGTTAATGTAATTGATGTGAATAAAACCGAAAATCTTAAAGCCCCAATGTCAAATGTTCTGGTCAAGGAAGACAGTCAGAAGGAGGTTGTTAAAAATGATTGTCTATTAAATGGATCTGATATAGTTATAGAGCCAAATGAAGATATTGAAACTATTACAGTAATCACACGGCATACGTCTCCTACGCCACCAGGTTCGTCTACTTATGTGAGAATGAGAAGGGCGGATATGGCCAAAACAATAGAAAAAATTATTTCACGTCCAAAGAAAAGACCCACCTTGGTAGATAAAGAAATGCAATCGGATAGGCTTGATGATCCAACTAGATCGAGTCGATTTGGCAGTACTGGTAGAACTAGTATGACAAATTGGACATATTACTCACCTAATGTTAATAGCTACACCGGTTACGCGGGAAGATACTCAACGCAGTATTCAAATCTACGAGAAAGTAATGCTAACTCTAATGATAGAAGTAGTCGAAGTAGAAGCAAGGAACCAGTAGAAAACAAAATATTAAGCTCGCAAACTGAACATGAAAGAGTTAATGACGGACAAACTTCTAATAATGCAACAGAATTTGAGGAAAAGAATAATGAAAACAAGAATGAGGATACTTCTGAAATAATTATAAACGTTAATCTCACATTGAAACAGACACGAAGTTCTTCAGCTGTGTCCTCGTCAGAGTTAATATCTCCAGAAATCACAATAACTAATAGTCACCAATTACCTCCCCAACCTCCTAAATCAGAAAATAGTAATAAAAATAAGAAAAATAAGGTCCGAAAATCTAGTACGGACTCTTCTTCCGATTCATCGTCTAAAAAGGTTGTTAAAAAAAGAACTAAATCAACAAGTTCTACAAGTTCAGATCAAGGTACCGAAAAACTTCAAAAGGCGAAAGTTTCTAAGAATATAAACCATACAAAATCATCTAGTGACTTACAGAAAGGTCCGTTAAAATTAAAATATTCGAAATGTAGGGAGAATAATAGTCCAGAAACAAGTGTCACCTTATCCACTCAATCATCAATTAGTGAAGACGAAAATACATCAAAGTCCAACATAAAAGACATAATTAGAAATTCCAAAGGGGAAAACTCACCATCACAGACTGACCCAATATTAAAACAAATGACACCAAATAAAAATGAAGGCACGGAAGACGCCAAATCCTTTTTGATTCGAGCTTTAGCACCGGTAACGAATCTTTTTAAATTGAGACATCAAGATAATTCAGAATGCGTTCGCAAAGAGAGTTCTGAAGCTGATTTCAAAGAATCTCCAAATATAAAAAACGAAAATAGTAAATCTAAAAATAATACTAAAAACATTATTGTATCCAATGAAGATGAATTCGTCACATTAAAAGGAATACGACATGTAGAATCAGGTGAGCGTTCAAGGTGGCTGGAGTCAGATTTCGAAAACACCAATATGGAACAAGATCGAAATCAGGAAAGTTACTCTGAAAACAAAATTTCGGAAGCAAACAATTTTAAGAGAACTTTAAAACCAAATTGTTTTCCAGACGATGAGAAACCATGGTGGTTAGATAGCAGTGCTAATATTCCAGAGGGAATTGAAAGATTGACTCCTCCAAGGAAGTCTTCTAGTGATAGTGATAAAAGTGAAAAGTTTTACCATTTTAAAATTCGACAAATAGATTCCGGTGAAAGAAAAGATTGGTGGCTGTCTAATAGCGATCAAACTAGTACTGGTAATAAATCAGAACTACCTAATGGTATCAAATTAAGCAAATCTGGTTCCGATCAAAAAAACTTCCCGATGAAACGAATTCGACATGTTGAATCTGGTGAGAGCCCTTGGTGGTTATCTAGCGAAAAGAACATTCCCGAAGGCATTGAAAAGTTGCCAACGCCACCACCCCAAGAAGATAGTGATTCTTCAGATTCTGACGAAGTTCAAGAATACATACCGCCTAGTCAAATGCCCCCATTCCCTTTGCACTCGAACCTTTGTACACGTTTATAATAATTAAAGCAGTATAACATATTTGGGTTTAATTTCAACGAGAATTAGGCTCCAGTGTCCACTACGAGACATAAATTTTAATTTTATAAACTAGTCACATGGGATGTGGATTGAGCGAAATGTTATTAGAAACTATTAGCAGGAATTGACCACTACTTAATAGCTTTCTGTATTAACTTTTGTTTTCTACATTCTATAATTTTTATTATCTGACACCAACACTAATCAAATCAAATCAAATCAAATCAAAAAATCTTTATTTAGACATACACAGTTAACATATAAAAAACAGTATAAAAAAAAATCACAACGATAACGTGATGCCTAAATTGGTAGGCCACTCAGCTTATGTTGAAAATCATTATCATGACTTTCAACGCTGGTATTCTGTGGCTGCCAGTACCTACGCACGCCACGTCGCAGGTAGTGAGAAAAATAATAATAATAATAGTAATCTTCTATATATATAAAAATGGATTGCTGTTCCTTAGTCTCGCTAAAACTCGAGAACAGCTGAACGGATTTATGTTATCTTAGTCTTGAAATGTTCGTGGAGGTTCAGGGAAGGTATAAAAGCTGAAAAAAATTGATTGTTGGAATTGGAAAACCATAAAAACAGCCCTTTTCTATTTCCCATACAAACGTTTTTTTTTACATTAGATTTGACAACTAACTAATATGTCAATCATTCTGTTCGATTGTAACAGGAGAAACCTGATTATTAATGGCCTCTAAAACGGAATAGACTTCGCCCGGTCAGCTATACATACATATATTAGTAATGACGAAACTAACGTGGACGAAGTCGCGGGCAAAAACTAGTAAAAAATAAAAATTTTGACATGTGTGATTCAATAACTTACAATAATTATTAGTCTAAGCTTAAAATTAGTAAATCTCTAATTGTTTAACCAGAGTTGTAGTGTATAATAGCTAAGAACAAATAACCTAATATGTAATAATGCTCCCTGTACTCCGATGTAGGTTGATAATGATAAATTATCAGACTTATAAACATTCAAATTTAAACCTTAATATTAGAGCATAAAGTTAAATTTATACTGATAGCAGCTAAAAGAAGCACGCAAAAAAAAATTGTTTTGCCTTTTCGTGATTGAACTTGACTTATTGCAACCCATTAAAAACACTTACAAAATATTAAAACTCTTATTTTACAATTGAATAACATGTTGTGCTTTATAAGGAAAATATTTAATATCTTGGGAATAATTTTCTTTTTGTTGGTAAATAGATCTTATCATGCAGAAATACCGAACGCACAACCTTTATAATGTGTAAGCATATATGTATATTGAACGATTTATTTAAAAACAGTCGAAAAGAAAAAGAAGTTGTTAACTATTATTATAACAATAGCAATGTTAATTAAAAACAATTTAAAAATGTAATGTATTGAAAAAATATTATATAAGGAAAAACATAAATCCATTCACTATTTTATCTAAATATGTTATGACAAATCATTTCCGACACATGTGTAATTTGCCATTATAATTTATATTTGCAATAAAAGTACATACGTATATTCAAGACTTTTGCATAAAGTATTATTTTAATAACAAATATTTTTTGTTAAATATTATCGTAGATTTTTAATAGATCTTATTCATCTTAAAAATCCACTAGATATCAGCACTTTAATTTGTATTTATTTACACTATTTATTATGACCTAAAAAACCGAATTACATTAAATTTGCGTTTATTTTGAGTATTTTAATATTATAAGATCAATATACAGAAAAATAAAATCAGTCAGATCTCAAGTTAACGTCTGTCAAAATCTTCAACAACGAAAGATCAACGTGCACTGCACGTGCACTTTTATGTGTCTCGTCAAAGAGACAGAAATATTCCTTTTGTCCCAAAGTCAATTAGCAGTGTTTATACATCCTGCGTGCAATTTCCAGTTTCATTGTGTGTCAATCACTATCATATATTTTAATAAAATATTAATTGATTACTACATCATTTGTATTAGAATCTATTGCGTAACATTAAATTGAATTTGGTAATATATTATCTAATAACTAATCCTTTATATAGATGTGCATTTGTTTTATTCGAAATGTAATGTACTTTTGTTGAATGACACGTCACCCTCATTTAAATTTTATTACACAGCTTTTGACCTCACTTTATTCTGGAGTCACAAACCAAATGTTTGCGGTAACTTAATCCGGATACGGAAGGGACGAAGTGTAACTTGGAAATTATAACTTTATAGCGCTAGTGGACAAACTTACTTGAGTATACTTAGTTCTGTTTTATCCAGAGTTATAATGATCCTATTATTATTAACAGTGCCTATATTATATTAATGCCTTTATGGTTACAAAAATATGATCTATGGAAATTTTATAGAAGAAAATCGTAATGCTTTTCCAGGTCAGTGACTTTTCATTTAATTTTCAGAGTTGGCGATTTTCCCACGTTATTGAAATTTTTAAGAAACTGAAATCATAATCGTCATAAATATAGAAACTTTTATTTTCGTCTGTTTTTTTTCTATTTTCATTCTGTGTATTTGGTAAGAAAAGTCATAACAAAACTGTGAATAATGTATCGTTTTGAGAATACGCTCACAAATCTATCACAGTGAATAGTAAATGTGCAACAGAATTACATTTACTCAATAAATTCCGCGAACTAATTAATTGTTACTAGATGCGTGGGCGCGTTCTTTGTTAGCTGTAATCTAAATTAGCTGGGCCTTATTGAGAAATAGTTGATATAAATAAACTACCGGCCACCGATTTCGTTAAAATTTATCTCGTATTGATTTCCGTGTAGTATTCCCGTGAATTTGTTTCTTTACTAATGTTATTGAGGTTTCTATGCAAGTATAAATTAGTTGTATGTTTTAGGCTGTCTGCGTGATCACAGTCACGGTTGCTGTAAAGAAATCGAAATGTAGTTTTTACATAGTAATACAATAATAAAAAATGCGTGGTATCCCGAAAAACTTAGTTTAATTTAAACGAGTACGAGAAAATCGTAGACATCATTATTGTTTAACTTTCATATTTGTAGTTGTATGTTTTGAATTAACTTATTTATTCAAGTATCTATATTTGTTTTATATACATTATGAGGTCTTTTTAATAATACTTGAGATTATTTTCTATTTGTAAATACATTATATGTTTAAAGATGATTAAGGATGAATATGATTTTTTATACTTTCCTACTACCTTGGACAAGCAAAATGACTTTGTCTGAATTAATATGCATTCATTTTCTAATAGGTATTTTATTTTATCATTCTTTAGGATAACATTGATCGATACATTTTGTATTTGATATAAAGGCTAGTTAAATAATTATTTATCATTGCCTTAAAATACCCTAAATATTTTTTATATAGATGACTATGTATAAAGAATGAAAAGTACTTACATATGTTTTATTTAATTGAATTTAATTGTGTGCTCTATAATTGTTCCTTCTCCCAAAAATTTTTTTCAACTCAACATTTTTACCTGTATAATTTGCTCATTAATAAAGAATGGTAGAAAAGTCTAATTTAAAAATAAGAAAAAATATCTAACAGACGTATTCATTGTTTTATTAAACTCATTCGGAGCGCTCACATATTGCATTTAAAATAGAAGAAAGGATATTGTTATGATTTCTAGTTACGTCTTTCTATTTATGGCTTTGGTTTAAAAATGTTTATTTATTAATGAAGTACACTTTATTTTGTATGATTACTTAAAGTTGCATTCATTTTAACAACATGCTTTAAAATGAAACCAATTAAACGTTATAATAACTAAAGTTCATTAATTTTTAGGTATATGAATATCTATATAAATGTATCAAAAATAATTTTATACAGCCCTATCAGTAGGTTGCAAATTGGCAACCGAATATGTCTCATAAAATAAAATACAATACTGGCATTATTATAACCAATTTCAATCAATTGTACCAACAATAACCATAAAAGATAATTTTAATTGATACCAATGTCTATACGGGGAGGTATTCTGAGCACGTGTTGGGCTCTGACTAATATTCTGAGTCAGGAGCTTTCGTATTACTATTTTAGCACTCAGGTAGAAATGAGGTCGCTTCTGTTTGTTACGTTATCTATGGCTTCCATTATAATAAAAAATATATAATTGTCAGTGTTTAATTTTTATGAATTGCCATTAACCCGTTTTCGTAAATTGATTTATGTTGTACTTTGAGTACAGACGAGCGTTATGAAAAGTTTCGTATCTTAAAATGTCTTATAAAGCCATAAATTAAATAATAAAATCAGTATTACATATGAAAAAAAAAGTCAAAGATAATATATATATTATAATAAATAGTCTTATTGTTATCAGAGGAGATGAATATTGTTTTAATACGTTTTTATTTCAATTCCTATATCTAATATAACTTAACTTAAATTTACCGTTTTTATTTGAGTTTTCAATTTCATAGGTTAATGGTTTGAATACTGTTAATTTTATTATCTTTCAAGAATAAATCCTTTCTACAACTTTCAAAATAAAAAATTTCCATGTTCATGGATAAAATATATTCTTACCTAATGATTTTTCATATCCCACGAACAAAAGATTTGCGAAATATTTCACATACGTAACGAAAGTGAAGTGAATTTTTATTTTATTGCTATTCATCAGCGTAATTAATACGAAATGAACACTTTCCCAACTTGGCCCATACCTGATAAAGCCTGCACAAGAGAATAATTGATTGGAAGAGCAATTACATTCATCAGAATTAGTGGTACGTGAATAATGAGACATTGACAATGCATCGCATTTAATTAAACGATAAAATCGAGCCCATATAAATGTAGTATCATTTAAATAGCAGAGACAGGAAACTGGTTGAGATCTGATTTACTGATAGATTTAAGACAAACTTAGAAACAGAATATTGACATTAATTGAAACCATCATTAGAGATGTCGATGAGATAATAAGTGTAATATGAAAAAAAAAGTGTTATAAGAAAATT